TAACTGCTCTTGAGAATTAACTTCTAAATATACAAACTGTACAGAGTGTTATCTGATAGAAGCAGCAGAGTATAAATCAAGAGTTAATATTATCAGTCTTCAATATTAATACAGAAACTGCAGATTTTATAACTGAATATTAATAAAAAATATTCAATCATAGAAGTACTTCTCAATGACTGTAAAATTAAAGATTTGAAGATATTACTTATACAAGAATTCTCTTTTATATATTATACAATATTAATATAACACTTACACTGAAGCATGTTTTAAATATTATACACTGAGACATATATCACAGAGTGCAGTCTAATATATATTAATAAGTATATATTAATCTCAGTATACTGACAAAGATGATGTCACAGCTCAGATGTAACAGCAATCAAGCTTTAGATAGAAGAAAGTCAGATCTTAATTTTCTTTATATATATTCTGTCATTCAACTCAGTAGATAATCTGATACATCAGATCTTAAATGAAATCAGCTGAATAATTCAGCTCTTATCTACAATCACATTGATTATTACAGAGAATTTCAACTGATATTATCAGATATAAGATAAAATTCAGATAAACTGAAGATAAGTCTGAGATATCAGAGATCTTCTGAACTTTATACAGACTTAAGAACTTTATAACTGTCTCTTATCTGACACTGTTATCTACTGATCAGTGAGTCATTCAGATACATACTTCATACTTAATCTCACACTCAGTAATATTTTATATCAGTTACTTAAATATCATCTCTACTTAGATAACTATAACTCTGATTATCTGATAATCTACTCAGAATGAGATCTGTAACTGAAATAGAAAGATTCAAGTCAGTTATACAGACTTTTTAACTGAGTGAACTGAGAAGAGATTAACAAAGCTGCAGAGAAAGTAATCTCTATATTATAGATTAAATTAATAACTCAGCTGAATGAAATAGTTGATAGATTAATTACAATAATAATAGTAGAAATAGATAAGCATACTCTGTATGCAAGATTATCTTCTTATACTAAACACTGATTCAGCTGAGATCTGAAAATACAGCAGTTTAAGTGCAACAGAAGCTGAAGAAGATGATAGATTAGTTATATTAAGCAGAGAAGCAATTACTTAATTACTCAAGCTCTATACACAGATATACTGTGAAAGTGCAGAAAATGAACTTAAATAAGAGAGAAAGTTAAGTGAGAACACTGAAAAGAATTTCTTAATAAAATGAGTATAAGTAATCATCTTTGAAAAGTAGTAGAATACATCTATCTCTCAGACAATTATATCAATATTCTATCTCTGATAGTTAAGAACACTGAATATACTGATAATAAAGATAAAGCTTAAATACTACTGAATAGTTTCTTTTCTTCAGCTATAATCTCACTGAGAGAATTCTCTATCTCAATTCAGAAGAAACTGCTCTGAGAGCTAATTATAGAGAAAGAGATTCTGATAACACTGATAAGAATTAAAAGCAAATCAGTCTCTGAGAATGACAGTCTCTCAGCATTAGTATGAAAGAGTCTATGAAAATATCTGTTAAAACTTATATATCAGATCTTCAAAGCATCAATCAGACTGAGATATTACTTAACAAGTTAAAAGACTGCAGTGATTATAGTACTACAGAAATCTGAGAAATCAGACTATATAATCTCTGAAGTATATTATCTGATCTTACTTCTCAACACACTGAGAAAGATTCTGAAGAAAGTAATTATAAAACATCTTACATACTACACAGAGAAATATAATCTTCTTTTAAATGCACAATTTAAAGTCAGATCAGATAGAACTATGAAATAGATACTTTTAATTCTAATCAGTGCTATTAATCAGGTCTGAAAACATAGTAGAGTTCTGACTCTAGTCTTCTTTAATATCAAAGAGACCTTCAATGAGATAAATAAAGACATATTGAAGATCAGACTTAGAGAGATGAGAATCTCTCAGATAGTATACAGATAAATTCAGAGCTTTATAAAAAACAGATTTATTAATATTAAATTTAATAATTTCAGTACTGAGATAGTCTTGCTTTCTAATACTAATCTTGCTTAAGAATCTCTTCTCTTCTCAATTCTCTTCATCATCTTCAACTCAGACCTGATCAATTAATCAGTAGATTACAATGAAGACATATCTGTCTTTATAGATAATTATTTTCACTGAAGAATCAGATTAAATATAGAAAGTAATCTGTAAAAGATTTAACAGATAGATATCTCTAGAATTAAAGAATGAGTAAGACAGACTGGCTCATGATTCTCAGCTGAGAAGATGAAGCTAATTTATTTCATCAGAAGAAAAAAAGATTAAACAATGAGATTCATTACAATGAATGAATATATTATTTTATCATTATCAGAGATCAAGCTTCTGAGAGTATATTTTAACCAGAAACTAAAATGAAAAACACACACACAATATATGATCAAGAGAGTCATTAATATATGCATTATCATCAGACACTTATCTCATTTATAGTCAGAATAGATAAGGCAGCTCTACATTGCCTGTGTAGTTCTCAAATTGACATACATCTTCACAGTATGATACAACCTCTTAAAGAGAGTCACACAAGTCAAGACTTTCATCAAGGTTCAGTGAATGGCTCTGATCAGAATTCTGTTCACATTTTGAATGATGGCAACACAAACTCTCGAAATGAAGGCACATATCCCCCCTCTACGCGCCCGGCTGTGACAGCGAGCCCGGGATGTTGTCATTGGCCTCCGCACACTCTCATAATCTCACCCGATACATGAGCCCCTCAGGAGAGTCATAGCAGGTGCAACCTGTAATGAAGACAGACATTACTACTCACTAGAGAATACAATGAGAATGTTTTAGAGAGAGAAGATGAAATTAATAGAGATAATCAATTCATACTCTCTGAAATCATGACAGAAGCCAGTACTTAAAGATATCTATCTCAACTCTGACAGAGTCAGAGTCATTGAGAGAGGTATAAAAATAATGAAGAACTCAGTCAAAACAGTCTTCACTAATACTGTAAAGAAGAACTCAGTGCTTGAAGCAGCAGCACTGATTATAAATGAATCATATCATATTCAGTATAGTATACAAGTTAGTATTGAGTAAGAAAAGCACTGAACTATCATAATAGCTAAGCTGCTAGTGATATATTATGAACTCTATCTGATATGAAGATCTCACTCAAGTGAGAGAATATCAATTTCTTATTAATAATATATATACATTATTCTCAGCAACTTCTGTATTACTCTTTAAGTCATTATAAACATCTTAAAATAAGTTAGAGAACAGATAATTCAGAACATTCTGCACATAATAAAAAAGCTGAAATTCATAGATATAGATCTCTGTCTTCAGTGAGTATCAGAACATAGTGAAATTAAGAGAAATAAAATAACTGATCAGCTTATCAAGCAGTTAATTAACTCAAACTTAATACATGATTTTTCAAAGTCTGTCTCACATCTTAGAGAAGTCAGCTGCAACAGTATTATACAGAAGTAAAGAGATGAATAATTCTTAACAGCAAAGAAGACTCATCTGTAGAAGATAGATACAGCTCTCTCAGACTAATATACTCACTATCTCTATATTATTCTTTCAAGACATTGAGCAAGACTTCTGATGCAACTCAGAATGAGTCACTTATAACTAAATAACTTTTAAAACTGAATAAAATACACTGATAATAATAAATGTAAATATGAAGTAAAAGAATTAATTCATTATATTCTAGTAGACTGTCTGAGACTGCAGTAACAACATCAGATTCTGTGATAAAAGATTAAGAACAGATTTAACAATATCTCTCTAATACTAGAGAGTAAATCATCAAACTGAATAATAAATGAGATAGAATGAAAAATTAGTAGAAGAGATTTTAATGCAATTCTAGACTTTGCTAAGAGCTTAGAAAGATTCTAAGACAGAGATAACTAGAGTAGATTAGTCACAGGCTCTGATGAGATATTAAGATTATACATGTAGTTAGACTAGAAAGAATAGATAAGAGTAGCTGTAATAGTGATAGCCTGTATATTCTGATGAGAGAGAGGTCAGAGTAGCTGATTCAATCAATCAATCAATCAATCAATCAATTAAAGAGCACGGGCTTTTAATGAGATCATGGCTTTTACTGTTCTACTTCTGCTTCAATTAATGAAAGTTATAAACATCACAGCATACACGCAAGAATCATTAAATCATATATACTGATCAAATCACCTGCTGACTTGCATATGAAATGTCAAAATGTAAAAATATAAAATTGTAAAACTGCAAAAATTGCTTTTTCACAGAAGTGAAGAAATGCAAGTTCATTAATATATTAAGAAAAAACTAAGCATCTTGTCAGTCACATCAGCACTGGGCCTTGCTAAGCTTTAATCATTAAATGATGACTGTAAGTGTTTTCTCAGAAGCTAGGCTGAATATAAATGAATTAGCAATTCAGTAATTCAGTATGATTGATACAGACTTACATAGTTTAATTCAATCAAATTGTAGTGATCAGGGTGATAAGTCTTCAATAAGATATTTCACCTATTCACACTTATTCTCAAGTTTCTCTTGCTTTCTCACTTTCCCCTCTTAACTTCTGATATTTTGTGTAGCTCTTGCACTGTTTGAGATGAAGAGAGGTAATTCTCCTGTTTCTGTAAGAGCTATATTTGTCTGGTTGTGGAAAGTTACTGCTTAAAAACATCAGACTTTGAGAAGAGATCTCAATTTATAGCTATAAGCAAATGTTGTCTAGAAATAAGATGGGCTCCATTGAGTCAAAAAAAGTCACTTTTTAAAATATCCAGCAAATTCAACTTTGAAACCAAACTCTAGCCAAACTCAATCTTGAGCCACTAGTCAACAATTCTCGGGTGTATAGGTCAACGGGTGTAGGGGTGACGAGCGTAATGTACGCATATGACTCATATATTCTCTGTCCTGATAAAACCTTGGATCCCTATACATCACCTGCGGGGGTAAATTCTTTCACGCCGCACTCACATCCACACTCTTCTGCCAACTTCAATACTGTTCTGAAGTTTCACAGAACTTGCACTGGCAAGGATGTCTTGGATGTGGAGAGCGGGTCTCCCATGAGTGGATTTCCGAAGTTGCATGACATGGACGCTGCTGAGCTGCAACGTTTTCTTAACGGCCCAGGGATCCCACTCAGGTGGTGCATCTTTGGGGTGGAGGTTGAAGCAGCGAACTTGGCCGCGAGGGACCCAGTGGTTTTGGAGGTGGAAGTTGCTGCACCAGCGGCCTCGTGGTAGTGGAAACCGCGGTTGCTTCATCGACGAGCTTGAGAGATTATCTCATGGGGAAAATTTATGGGGTCTCAGACTCTAGCTGCCTTTTTGCCTGTTTGCCTTTTATACCACCAATCGGAGGACTGGATTGACAACGGGCGACTGACGTCCGACTAGCCGACATTGGATTGTTTACCTGGAGGGAGATAAACCAGCATATCAAACGTAACAGCCGGCATAGGTTGGAAAGTGTACTGGTTTGCCTGCCACAGAACCTGCTAAGGTTTGCACCTACAGGGTACTTCAGTCAACAGTCATAGATCACCGAAGGACCTGTAACCACTACTCTATGTTTATAATATGTACAGGTTATTCGGCACAGGTCAAACTGACCTGTGTCAACTAACCTATTTCTGGGTAACTGTACCAGCTCACATAAGCACCTTGACATGGAGTAGTCAACACCACCCTCTCGGTGAGTAGAAAATCTCTCCCCATTTTGCATTGAAATGACAGTGACGGTCATCATGGGCTGAGGAGTCCTTGAATACTCATGTACTGAGTTGGATTGTTTACTTTTGATCTAACTAACTTATTAAACTTTCCAAAGAGGAACAAAAAGAGGCATGTACGACAGAAAATCAAACTAGGTGAGCCCTGCGCCAGATAGAGAACAGTAAATCAAATCCCAAACCACAATCATCGTCCGATAGCCTTGAATATGTGACCAAAGACATACATCGAACGCTGCAGCCTCGAACCAGCAGTCGTTTGCTACTATTGGTACCAAGTCATTGCGGTGATAGACATGTCATCCATGTCCAATCACCCGTTGCAGGACGCATTGTTAAGGGAGCATCTGCATGGTTGCAGTTCGGTTCTGTGGAACTTGGCGGATCTTCCATTTGCTGGAATTCCCGCTTCGAGTTCTGCAAAGGAAGGGAGCCGGACCGAGAGGTTTGTACATCCGCTGAAACGGAATCGTCAGTGGGCACTCTACAAGAAATTCCTTAAAAAAACTTTTTGCCTTCTGGCAAAGGCCAAGTTTGAGGGAGACCACACTTTTTCTCAATATGCCACCAATTCTTTGGACATTTTATAGTTCCTGTGGCATTTTTGATTCCTGAAATGTTTTTTAAACCTAAGAGAGGTCGTATTCCTAGGACATTTCTCAACCCTAAGGAGAACCACGCGTTAAACCTATAATGTCATGATTTCGCAGATAGCTTGAGGCTTAATGCCCAGTGTTGGGCCTCAAGTAGTTTTCAGAATCATGACATTATAGATTTAAAGCGTGGTTCCCCTCAGGCTTAAAAAGGATTCTGAGAACTAAAAAAGCCCTAGAATTTTAAAACCTCTCAAGAATCATGACATTCGGGTTTAAAAGTGTGGTCCGCCTCAGGATTGAAGAGCGTTCTGAGAATGTGATCTCTCTCAGGTTCAAACAGTATTCTGAGAACTAAAATGCCTTGAGATTATAGAATGTCTCAAAATACATGACATCTGATTTAAAGTGTGGTTCCCCTCAGGCTTAAAAAGGATTCTGAGAACTAAAAATGCCCTAGAATTTTAAACCCTCTCAAGAATCATGACATTCGGGTTTAAAAGTGCGGTTCGCCTCAGGATTGAAGAGCGTTCTGAGAATGTGATCTCTCTCAGGTTCAAACGGTATTCTGAGAACTAAAAATGCCTTGAGATTATAGAATGTCTCAAATACATGACATCTGATTTAAAGTGTGGTCTCCCTCAAGCTTAAGGGGCATCCTGAGAACTAAAGATGCCTTGAAATTCTGTCATGCCGCAAGAACGCTGATTTCTGAGCTTGTGGCAGCTCAATCCCTGGGAAATCATATGTCCCTGAGAGCTACACCAAAGTCGTGGCCAATCGAACACAGTCAGCAGAATGCCGTAAGAAGGCAAAAAGCCCTGGGACCACGTAAATTTATTGTTGTGGAGCACGGAAAGAAAACGCCCCAGTGAAAGATTTAGTTGTAAATGCCAGTACTTTGGGGAGAAATGCCCCAAGAACAACAAATAAAGATCAGAAAATTCCAAGTTTACATAAAATTTAATTGATGCCCTGAGAGATACAAATATTGGTATCTATAGTCATAATTTTAACATATAGATGTAAAACAGGAATTTGCTTCTAAGATATATTCAGAAGCGATAGCATTAAACAACCGAAAAGACACTTAATGATCTTGTTTCTTGCAGTTGCTTCGTTTTCTTTGCTAAACATCAATATCGTTAAGGGTTTAGATAACGGTGTCTAACCGGTCACTCTTCCGCAAAGGGAGCGGAAACCGCCAGACGGCAAGCCCATTGAGGTTAACCATTTTGTGGTCTGACAAAAAACCATTCTCTGACAGAGATGCGCAGGGCCAGAAAGACACCCTACTTTGATTTACTTTTAATCACTTTCACCGTTGACCTTGGAACTCAGTTAGACTCTGCACCTACCTTTAGTAATCCATCTCTGGTTGCCGTATACTTTCATCTCCCATGCTTCAATAACGTCGTTGCCGCTTTCCCACGGTTCTCGTGCTTCTCTTCTTGAACGGTGTCTCGGTCCAGTATCATTTTGTGTTGGTTAACATACTTCAGTATAAGTTTGCTGCTCCATTTTGCGTGTTGAAGCAAGTGATAGTAGTGTGTTCATTGTTGTTCTATTCAGCAGAGGTGGGATTCCCAATATATATACATACAGACGTACAAGTTTCAGATCTCTTACACGTGTTTCAACCACCGTGATACTCAACATTGCGCTTCCCATTCACCCTCCCTCACGCCCCCCGATCTTCACTCACCCCCGAGTCCACCTGGATCTTCCATAAAGCTGCCCGTCCTCCCCCAGGGTCCTATGTTAGCCTCTTTTTCTACTCTCGCTACAGTCGTTTCTGTGGCATCTGTCAATAGGCTAAAGATGTTTGCAAGTTTTAATCAACTTTCATATTATTAAACTTTCCAAGAGGAACACAAGACAGAAAATCAAACAAGGCAGGCCCTGCACCAGAATACAACTAATCAAGATTCAGCACTATAACAGGCAGCATCATCATCAGATACAATTACCACGAACATGGACGCCGGGGAGATCCATACAAACCGGTCTCCCACAGTGGGGCCCAAGAATAAATACAGCCCATCAACATACCCCGGAACTATAACCATCGTCTGATTAGCCTTGGACACCTGTCCAGAGACATACATCGAGCGCTGCGGTATCGAACCCCCAGTGGTATGGCTATTATTGGTATTAAGCCACTGCGGTGATAATCACGCCATCCATGTCTAATTCCCCGCTGAAGGACCCGTCGTTGGGAGAGTATCTGCGTGGCTCCAGTTCAATTCTGTGGAATTTGGTGGATCACTTCTATATGCTGGGACTCCGGCAGCGAACTCTGCAAGGGAAGGGAGCCGAACGGAAACTGTGCGTGATGCTTGGAGAGGTTCTGATGTGGGCTGCGAGAATGAGAATGGAACTGTTCCAGCTTGTCTCGCCATTTCTTGTTCTCCGAGCTGCCAATGCATAGCCTCAGCGGCCCTCCAGGGCATGGCCATCTCCTCTGCAATTTTCGCCCACATTTCCGACTTGAATCTGCTTGCTCTGTCAGTAAGCTAGCCGGTTATCATCAGATATCACACCATTTTTACCTTTCATATAACAATGCTAGCTTGGTCTTGAGATCCTCGCTCCACTCACCCCGCCTCTCGAGGTAATTCTGGTAGTGCAGGCGACAGCTCATTGCACTTCGCCCGGGAAGTTTCTCGCTGATATCTTCCCACGTCATTCCGCGCCCCCGAAGCTCGATGATGCGGACATCTTCTTCTGAGGACCACTTTGGCTTCTTCTTGGGTAGAATTTGGTGTGCATCGGAGCTATCGGTCTGGACGTCAGGTGCCATTGGTTTGTTTTGGGCTAAGTGTTGAGTCATAGACGCCATAGAGAAATCTGCGGTACTTTACGAGGAGAAAAGGGAAGATCGAGGGATGGAAGCAAAGTGGGAGGAGGGCTGGCTTTATATGCCTTCAGACCCTCTGGTCTATGCTAATGTTCCCCCCTGGAGATGGATTTGGAGCGATCGTGAGAGACCGCACCGTTTACAAGATACGTTGGCTGAGCTAGGGGCCGGCTCGGGGCCTACGAACAGAGGGGAGGTTCATATGACATCTACAGTACGCCCTCCACACTTCCCGTTGATGTATGGTAGCGATGTATGCAAAATTGACTAACTTCCATCCATTATTGAACTACGACAGAAAATCAAACAAGGTGGGTCTTGCGCCGGATAAAACGTGGCTCATCGAGACAATTACCGACAGAGAAACACGAAGCAGAAAGAAAGAACAGAGCGCATTAGTCCTCACAGGCTAGCTCGTACACCGGCAGACCTGACAGACGACATACATGAGAGCCGGGGAAGATATGTAGAAATCCGTCCCAGTCCGCCTGCCGAGAAGGGAAACTCCGAATCAACATCTCGTCAAACAAAATGCCAGAGGGCCTCCCAGATTGACCATTCACATCAACATTCCACTATAAAAGCATAAAACTGAGGCGCAAGAACGCGTTGGGTGGGCCACGGTGGATCACACGTTGTGCGCCTGGGTGCTCTCTGTAAGGTCCTCGAAAGAGTCTGTGGGGTTGAGAATTGCACGTGCCCTGGCATAATTATTCACCTTTCCCCTTTCCTTGCTGGCTTTAGCAACCCAATTCTCCACTTCAGCCACTGCATCGGTAGGCGACTGCTTGTGTTCAAGCAGGAACGATAGCAGGATCTCAGCTGGGCTGAATACCTGGTCCGGTACCTTGGCGGCAAAGGCACCCGCAAGTTCGTCAATTGTTTCGTCATAGATCTTCTTTTCTGGGCTGCGGTGATCCTCATCTGGCCGCTCAATTGTTTCATCATCGGTCTTCTTTTTTGGCTTGCTGTCATCCTCAACCGACTCCTTGAAAACCGTACAGAAAAGACGAGAACTCATCTTCTCATCAGCGAGCTGAAACAAAACCTTTCTATCCACGCGGCCAGGGCGGATGAGCGCGTCATCCAGACGCTCGATGTGATTTGTCGTCATAATCAGCAATCGACCTTCCTGCGAAGATACACCATCCAGGGCATTAAGAAGAGCGGACAGAGATACATTTCCCTGAGACTTGCTTTTCTGCGAGGGGCGTACCGCGGCCTGGCCGGCGTTTTCTGTCGTTTCACTGTCTCCCGTTCGCCTCGTACTAGCAGCATCGATATCTTCTAAGAGAATGACACAATGCGGGGGAAGCTGGGCAAACAAACTGTTCAGGCGGCTGTCGTCGATGCTCGAAAGATTAAGTACATAGATATCCAGCTCAAAACGCCCGGCGACAGATAAGCTGAAACTGGACTTCCCGGTGCCAGGAGGCCCATACAGCAGGAACCCTCTTTGATAGGGAATCCCGCGCTTTGCATACCAGCCCCGAGCTCGCTCGTCCAGGAAATCGTCGATATCTTTCAGCACGGCCATTTTCTCGTCCTCATCCATGATGACTGTCGAAATTGGTCTGATGTCTCTTGCCTTCGCCTTCCTTCATTCATCATCATTATGCTCAAAGACTGCAGTCTTTTTCTGGATAAGTTTTAGATACTTGGCTCGGCAATCACTAAGGAGTTCTCTAAGGATTTGCGACGATCCGCCGATGCAGGAAATGGAGATCTCTTTCTTGGTGTCTTTTGCCATGCACTGGAACCGGAGCAGATGCTTCTTGTACATGAAGAAGAATGATCCATTCCAAGGTGAAAAGTGCAATGGTTTCTTCTTGTACTCTTTTGTGAGATCATCAGCATATGCTCTTCTTTGCATGCCGTCGATGCTGACGAGAGAGGAGCGAGCCTTATGGGCGAAGGGCTGCGTGGATACCCAGGCGATAAGCATATCGTACGCTTCATTGTAGTAGGAGATGTGGACGGTCGAAGCTTTCGATGGTTAGAAAGAGCTATCACTACGGGGAGAGTCACGAACTGAAATAGGCCTCCACCAATTCCGTCATGTAGCGGTACGCATATCTACCCAAAAACAGGAACATCCCGCCCATGCACACCAGGTGAGCATAGCTGTTCAGGTTGCCAGCCAGGAGCTGTTGCATGGATGCAGAGATGCCGGTGAAGCCGGGGAAGAAGACATCCATAATAGAGATTTGAGACGGGGCAGTGTGGATTGGCAAAGAGCCAGCACCGTTGAATGCGTTCATTCTGGAATGGGTGGTGACGCCGCGGGCGGTTTCCTGGATAGATGCTAAAGGGTGTAAGAGCAATTGATAGACTGTAAGTGTTCCTTGGTATTGCGAATAATGAAAGGGGTTGTTCATGAGCTACATACATGACCTCAGGATCCAAAGGGAATCTTGCCCCCTTATATGCTGTTGTACTGACCCCGCACATTGATTCATTGAGTCTTTGTCGAACCATCTCCATGCACATCCAGCGCCAATACGTCGTCCATACTGACCTAGAGTAGGCGAGGCACATTGCGCCATGCGCCAGAAACCGGGTGCAGCTGGGATAATCGGTCACGAAAAGTTGTCGCTTAGGATTGAGAACAATGAAGGAAGAGAATCTTGTCATAGCTTGCAGTAGTGGGATGACCTGGTTGTGCGTAGCGAAACCACGCTTAACGAAAGCCACATCAATAAAAGAAAAGATATACTAGGAAAAAGGATGTTGGTATGCATGAGGTTTTCTTCGTTACCAATCGGCGAAGCCCGAAAAGGGAACTTTGATATCAAGTATGCTATCCGCTGACGATCCACTTAGTAGACCAATTGGGAGACAGACCCTAGGTTCGCCGTCCCTGATCGGGAGGCCTTTGCTCAAAATCGAAGACAATCGAGAGAGCTTATTTGTAGCTTCAAGAAGTGCGGCGAGATACTAAGAAAAGAAACGAGGACTATTGCAGCTCCCGGAAACTTTTGACTTGCTCATTTTAAATGTTCTGGCACAATGTGTTGGCGTTAGGTGATAATCTGGCATGTACCTTTTTTGATGGAATCCAGTTGATTGGAATATGACGAGATTGAGGCTGAGATCGAGCTGCCCATCCTGAACCCCGCATTTTTCGTGTTCACTTCCAGGGCTGTATGTACAAGGTCAATCTCAACATCCAAGACAGCAAGTTGGCAATGCAACAGATGTTCAACCTATCAGAATTCAACTTAAAAACCCAAAAAGGTATGGTCAAAAGCGAAGACATGCGTATCCCACAATTTCTGATTGCATAAATTTGCCAAGACGCTATAACCCGAATGTGCTTTGTGGCTGAAACAGGTAAAATATTCCTCTGTTATCCTGGCCCCGCAATCAACTCCGTCATGTCATGCTGGCGTCAGCGACCATACGCACATGTTCGCATTCAAATACAAAAGAAACTGTTCATCCCTCATTTCTATCTTAGCCCCTCGCGACACCATGTCACAACAAAGTCTTCGGAATTTGGATTCAATCATTGGTGATACGTTTCAACTCTGTAATGATGGAGAAGATAGTTTTCCGTCCTTGAAAGCCAAGGTTTTACACCTCGCAACTCAAATTGCAGCCTTGGAGAGACTTGAGCCAGTCGCCAGACTCATACGAGAGGGGAGGCTTCTACAAATGCGAAAGCTGAACTACAATATCAAGAAATTGTCAGAGGACGACTCCAAGCGTGATGATCACGAATATTCTTGTTGGACTAGTCTTCAAAAGCTAGGTTGTCAGACCGCGGTCTTCTGCATGATCTCTTTCAGCGGATTAGCCCAACTGCCAGCTGAAGAGTATGATTGGCTTCTGAAGAATGTGCAAAGGTATATGACGGTGCAAGAACTTCCTCGCAACTGGGTCGCATGAGAGCAGATAAGGAAGGTAATGGCAAACGCGCCCAGACGTCCAAATACAATATCCTTCCTCAACAGTAAGCAGCTTTCTTGCACAAATTCATGTATCACAAAGCTAAATGAAATTCAGGCTACCATGAACTCGAGATTCAATGGTGCGATACAACCGAAACGAACACTATACAAGGAAAATCAGCCTGGGAAGGTATGCGTAACGGGAGTAAGTAACGAATCCATGGCCACTTTTTAACTTGAAATATGCAGCTCAATATTAGAGACGATTGTCTTAAATCAGATTTGCAACAATTTCCCCCTGCTTCAAACCCTCATGAAAACAAGACAGAATCACTACCGACAGTGCAGGCGGAATATTTAGCTACAGAAAAGGCAGAGGTTCAGCTAGAGATGGCGCAGAGTGGCAGGCGTAAGCAAGACGGTCCTCATAATGTGCTGTACATGACGCTGAATATTCATTCTCTAGAAATACCCTCGAATATACCGGCTAGCCAAATACCACTGTTAGGTAACTTACTTTCCGATGCGGTTCATATTGGTCAGCGACGGAGAGCGAACAAGAAGCGGAGCGAATATCAAGCTACAGATGAGCGACCATTGAAACGTGTCCAGTTACAATCACAGCAGGTTCCAGGTCTGTGAAATCATCTAATGGAGTGTCGCCCCTGTGTTGACATTGTCGAGATAACCTAGAATTTCCAGGACAGGGTAATTACTGCCCCTTCTCGTTTACGACGCGCGATAAGATTGAAAAGCTCCCCGAATCATTTTGTACCGGGCTGAAGAGAAGTAATTTATGGAAAAAAGAGAAGGAGACCGGAGGGCTAGAGGTGACAAACTGTCTTTCTATGTACCTGCCAGAGCGCAAGGCGGATGCTTTCTTTGTAATTATGATTGGCTACGATGATGGATTTAACATCTCAAATTTTCTCGGTTTGGAAGAACCAGAGATTTTAGAGCCAGAGGAATACGTCACAGAAGAAGCTCTCTTAAGAGATTGACTCTTATCCACAGTTGAATAGCATAAATGACATTGCTCTGGATAACCACTTATTACTACCTCTTTTCGAACTTAATCTTTGCCTTCAACACATAACATCGATATCCTTCAAGTACTTCTCTTGTTACTCTTCCATCTTCTGATCCTAATGTGTCGATGTGCCTGCCTTTGCTGTCTTCAATATGGCATGATCTACCCTCAAAAGTCATAATCATATCTTCCAATATCTCAAACTTGAGCGCTCCGATGTCCTCCCACACTCCTCTGAGTGCCTTATTCCCTAGAATCTCAGACATTTCCCTTCAACAACCGGTAGGACGATAAGTTTGAACGTCGGTCCCCGCGACAACGATGGCCTTTCAAGGTAGATGTGAAATATCGGGTATAAGTCGTTTTCGCAAAGGAGTTCAATCGTGACTAGTTGCCACCCTGAACCAGGGGAACGTTATTCGCCTGCACGACATCAGTAGCTGCAAAGACGGCTAGTAAAACGCGCAGTCACCTTTGCTTTATGCAAATGAAGATAAGCGGACTTTCTTTGGCCGATTTCTGGGGGTGCGTGAAATGAGGTTTGTTAACGGCGTGGTGGAGGTTGGAATGTATGGCTCACTTGTTGGTGGCCGGATAAATAACTCTTTTCGAAACGCAATATGAGATGAAGATTCTCGGATAGCAATGACGTTCGGCTTTCAGCGCCAGAAATGCACTGCATCTCCCTGTAGGAGGGGCTTCGCAAAGTGGTGGGGCTCGAGTGCCATGTGACTTGCTCAGTGATCCGATAGTGACCGAAAGAACCCTAGTAGACTTGGGCTCCAATGCGTTTAGGCTGAAACGAATTTGGATCCCAATGTCAGATACGGTGTGCTTTACAATAGTCGCAAAATTCTAGTGTTGGGTATGAGCTTCCAAAGTGGTGGATAAGTGACTATTTTGGAGACAGAAAATTCGCCACGAGATTCTACGCCACCATTGCAATTGCGAACAGGCGGCAGTCAGAAAATTAGGTTCATCCCGAGCGAAATTGGTTTAGTGCCTGGGATGAGAAACCAGGTATCACAGAAGTTGTTAGTAATGACATCTTCGACATTGTCGAAACTCATTTATGGGTTGATAATTTATTACAAAACGGCCTTTACTTCCCCTTCTGTCCATTTAAGACTTTAAACGCCCTATGACTAGCATATGCCTTCATCGCACGACTTCAGTCTATCCCACAAGCGCCAGCGCCTTGAGCATCCTTCCGAAACACCGCAGCGTCAGTTGAAGAAGCAGAAGATCAGCCAGTCTTACTGGGATAATCTATCAAAGGTTTGGTTAACTGAGAGCACGATAAAAGAATTAGACTGAAGAAACAGCCCTCAAGGACCATTGTGAAAGCTTCATAGGCTCATCACTTGACAGTTTACTGAGCTGAAGCACTGTGAAGTGTTTTCTTTTGCTCCTGATATTCTCTGTAATTGTCTACCTGGTCACTTAAAGAAGATAGAGAGGCTTTTGAGATTGGGAGGGCCGGACCTGTCTGATTTGAGAAATGTATGTAATTGCAACTCAATACCCACTTTGTTGTGCTAATGTTATCCTAGTATCCTGTTCCCCAACCGATGAGTTCAAGGTCATCCTCCCATCGTAGGAAGCATCGGGCAGAATCTCCTCCATCATCCAACACCGGAAACACAAAGACGACCACAAAAACCTCAAGCACCTCAGTATATAGTCGGAACTTCCAGCAGAATTTAATTGACCATAGAGTCTATCCACCGGAGTATAGGTATCCGGACAGCGAGAAGTCATCAAAACTGAATAACTGAATGAAGATCAATGAAATGTTGGCATGATTGTGAACTTCTCTTTCTTCCTTGAAGTTCTCTGAAAAGTGCTTTGAAGATTTCAGAGAAGCGGATGCATATGCATTCAAAGAGAAGCCAGTTACAGTTTCAATAGTTTCAATTCTTGACAGTGATATCAGTGACCCAAAATGTGTCAGGAGGGATTATTCATTTGGAAATCTTGCTCTCTTAACTGATGGCACATTGGCTTCAGCCAAACCAGATCACTTCTATGGTGCTTGTCCTGAACAGCTCAATCATCAAATTTGCAAGGAATTGAGCAATCATATTGTTCCATCAACGCAGGATGACCTCCCAATGGCATCAAACTTCTTCTTAGAAGTGAAAGGCCCTGACAGATCCCTGGCTGTGACTACATGTCAGACTTGTTATGATGGCGCTCTAGAAGCCTGAGGAATGCATTCTCTTCAGTCATATCAAGAATATGAATCAATCTATGACAACAACACCTATACTCTTACATCAACTTATCATGGCGGTCAACTCAAACTATACACCACTCATCTCACCAAGCCCAGTGGTCCAGACAGCCGTCCCGAGTATATTATGACTCAGCTCAATACTTGGGGGATGACTGGTAACTTGGAAACTTTTCAGCAAGGAGCAGTGGCATACAGAAATGCTCAAGATTGGGCAAAGGAAAAGAGGGCTGGAGTTATTAGGGCGGCAAATGAAAGATTCTCAGAGACTGAGTCTCAATATCATTCTGCATCTCAGCATCGGACGAACTCCGACATAGCTGCTACCTTAGATGATTCCGATGTTTCAACTGTGACTGATGAAACTGAGGATGCGCAATGGAGCTTTGCTGCTGCTAACAAAGATGTGGAAGATGAGACCCAGATTCTGAGCAGAAACCCCAAAAAATCAAGGGTGGGTGATATTGCTGGGAATAAGATTACTGGGCGTTTAAACTGAAGCATGTTCAACTTCCGTCGGCCTGTATAAGCTGGTGAATTTAAGATTGGCACCCACGCAACCAGCCCTCCTATAAATCCAGACGCAGTTGTATATGCCGACCTGGGCTATGCGAAGCACCTCGGTCATAGCCGCAAATATCAGCATTGTTCAATTGCCTCCATTGCGAGTCCTCCATGATCGTTTGGCCGTTTGGGCGGTTTGATTAGTAGACAGCTCGGGAAAAAATGAACTGGTAGGCAGGTGTTTGTCCTTGAACCCTGACCAGAAAAACAGACAGGCAGAAGTTAAGGGCTACAATAGGTTGCTGTGTGGGACAAGCTATGCGTACGCATCAATATTGAGCAGTCTTAGACATGAATATAAAATTGTTTATAGCAATAACCCTTTGCGGAGATGAAAATGAGCTGTACATTGCAAATGAAAAGTGGCTGAGCATATGGGCCAAGCTACATGCATTTTCCCATCGGAGAATAATAGGATTGATAGCGAGTTGTCCTCGCTTTTCAGTTTTCAGGGCCTGGTTTACAAGCTCAAGCTAGCGCGAAGGCCGCCAACTAGGCTGATCTGGATGGAGACTCTTGAGTCATAATTATGAACGAACGGTTCATTACCACGTTGAAACCCAACACGGATCTGCTGGGGGCGAACGCTGCAGATGCAATCACATACGCTAGACTGGGGTCGACATTTATTAGGGCGCTCGGGCCTACTGTGCTTGTGACTCATGATTCTATCATATGACCTCTACTGTGCCATTCGCCCTCCTCTAAGGCAATGTGTCAGGTGTTGAGACATCAACCAATGAACCTCCCGCCAAGGCTGGAGCCTAGTCGAACTGCTGAATGTAATCAAGCAACAACCATAAAATTTATTACTAGGTTAGCATCACGTCCCATCCGCCAACCACCAACTGGCCAACCCAAAGCTTATTCAGTGAGCGGGACGGGCCGCGTACAAAGAGATTTACACCAAGGACCAGCCTCAAGCTCCTGGTGCGTATTGTAGCATGAGAGAATCAATCATCTGCCCAGTGAGCTTCCCAAGGACAAAAGGGATCTGGACTTGCCTGCCGACCCGCGACTGCAGGCTATTGAGCAGCCTCCATGAAGATTACTAATACATAACAAGTTTAGGAAAAGCTGGCCAAATGAGATCGATCCTCCACCCACAGCGTTTTGACCAAATTCCCGTTGCAGTGCATTGATGGGACGTTCCTCCACACCTGTACCAAATTCGAAAGCGATAGCCTAGGGCCCGATAGCTGAGAGAAGATATCTTTTACCGCGTCGGCTGTTGCATATGGCTACCTGATATCCATGATGGCAGTAAGCATATTGTGATCGAGAACCTTCAAACCATCATCCATGCCGTGCTAGACATAGCTATGTTCGAATGAAATAAGGTCATCTCACCTTTATGAATATTGGCACCGAGTACATACAAAATGCGGACAAGACATTACCCCGCCTGGCGGTCTAATACATCCCTCCATCTTGTTTCTTGTTTCTCCACACTGGCAACATGTCTAACCAATTTGTTTCAGATCTTCGAGAAAACAGGCATCTTGCTTGCAGAGGTCGGCGTCAGCGACTGTTTCAGTTGTTCTTCCCTTGGTGCACATTGACTGGCGGCCAGTGGCTTGGTTCACGGTGGCATGCTCGCAGTACTGAGGTGTCCCCCATTTCTTGTGTCCACACCGGTACTTCTTACAGTATCTATAGCACATATTTCGTGGCGAGTCAATACTGTAGTAATAGAAAGTATGTGAGAGCATTATGCAGATCATGGGGAGTAGTGGTTTTATAGACCAAAATCGGGCTGGAAATAGAAGCGAGAGCCATCTATTGGCTGCAGCAGAGTCGCTGACCTTAATGCAAACATATGTTGAAACTAACGTATTTCACCGATCACATACCACAGCATTAATTTGGGAAGTTACTTTTGTCGTGTTTGTCGTGTTTGTCTCAGAGGTCCAGCATGTCAAGGGATCAAACGAGTAGTATCTTGAACTTAATTAGTGCGGTGGAACAAAGTGGTCGAGCTAAACTAATTTAGTATGAGAAGCTACTTTAGATGTTTGTCTTGTTTGTCTTACACAAAGTCTCTCATACTAAATTAGCGTGGAAGTACAAAGCTGTGAGAGAGGTTGAACGTGGTTGGTTGTTATTATCTAACTAGTAGCTAGTGAAAGCTAAATATATGTGTGTGGGTCACGTGGGTTAGGGCTTGTGTAGTAGCTCCAACACCCCCCCATGCTACGCAGGCCAGTTAATCCACGCAGTCAAAAGCGCCCAAATCATTCAAATCTGCAATAAAAATTAATTACAAAAAGTAGAGTCTAGTTTCCTCATAAGGACTAGCTCCATACATGAAAAACATAAAAAACATGCAAGAAGAACGCTCAAATCCATTCTTTCAGTATTGGTATTACCCCCAGTTGTTCTAACGCCGCGGGATCTCATTCTTATTATTTTTGTGGTTTTCATCGTCATAGGCATAGGCATAGGTCATCGGCATAGGTCATCGGCATAGGTCATCGGCATAGGTCATCATATGGGCAATCGGTGGCCCGGCATCATATAGGCACTGGGGCCTGGCATCGTAGGCACTGGGGCCTGGCATCATATAGGCACTGAGGCCTGGCATCGTAGGCACTGGGGCCTGGCATCATATAGGCACTGGGGCCTGGCATCGTAGGCACTGGGGCCTGGCATCATATAGGCACTGTGGCCTGGCATCATATAGGCACTGGGGCCTGGCATCGTTATCGGTATTTCCATCGTTTTGGCGTCGATATTGGCGGTCATCATGAGCATCATTAGAAGACTTGCTCAGTATTGTAGCATACAGGTGTAGCGGCATCATCATCATTGACCTTCTTTCTATTCTTTCAATCTGCAGATCATTTCTCTGAGTGTTCAAACCAGCAGCTTGGTTCATCATGGCCTTCCATCTTGCAGGCAGTGCATTTCTTCTTGGTGTTCTTATTATCCTTCACATCCTTGATGGCATCTTTGTTATTCTTTGTGTCATTTCTGGCATTTTTGTCATCCAACGGCAGGCGGAGTAGTATATCCCTGCAGAGATCAAGGAAATCATCTTCTAGTGATGTGACATTATCATCCTTTGCTGCATAGTCCATGCGATCTCTGATAAAGGTTGACCACTTCTTGGTGAGGCCGTTGAGGAGCTTGTCAAAGAATATGAAGTTGGGGATATTAGCATATTCAAGGCGGATATACTCAACGCGGATTGCAAGCAGGCATTCTATGAACAAGTGGTTGAAGCCATCATAGGTGGCAGTTGCACTGATATCATTGAATTCCTTGAACAGGCGGGCTCTGCGGATTTTCACCTGTTCTGAAAAGAATGCTGCTATGATGTTCCATAGAGCAGCAGAACTTAGGGAATCTTGAGGTATAGTAAAAAGAGATTTGGCTTCAATAGAAACAGAAGATCATACAAAATTGTATAGCCAGGAGTTGCATTCCTCTCAGAATCATTTCATATTCTTAGAGACATTCTCCAAGGGCTTGCTAGTGAGAATATCTTCTGTATGAGATTGCTTGACAACAAGCAGGATCTCTTCCTTCCAAATGGGGTAATCAGATGTTGATTTGAGAAGACCTGGTTTTTGAAGGTATTTGACGCGTTCACGGAATTCTTGGAGGACTCTGCTCAGTGCAGGGATATTCCCTTGATTCTGAAGGTAAGCAGTAAGATCAGGGCTTAGATCATTGCCATCATTGACAGTAGCTGTAGCAGTAGAATTGCTAGAAGCTCTCATCTGGCATAGTTCTTCATCCATCTGGGCAATACATCGCCTCAAGGCAGCAGCTTCATCAGTCATATTGTCATTATCTTGATTATTGTTATTGTGTGGTGGTTTTCTCGCGGTTATTGGGGTTGGAAAGGATTCAGGTGCAGTAGTTTGATTCTCTGGAGTCTCTTCGCGGTTGATTGATCTTGTATTGACAGGCATTTGATATGGGGTATTTGAATGAAAAAAGCAGCTATTTGAAAAGCTTATTGTATGATTATTGCATGGTTATAACACTTTGTAGAAGTGCAAGGGCTTCATAACCTGTGAGAGAGATTGAACGTGGTTGGTTGTTATTATCTAACTAGTAGCTAGTGAAAGCTAAATATATGTGTGTGGGTCACGTGGGTTAGGGCTTGTGTAGTAGCTCCAACAAAAGCGACCAAGTTAGTGGTGAAACACGCTAGAAATATAAGTAAGCCCACATTTCCACTCGTGCTCAATGGTGCTAACATGTCTTGAAGATTTTCTCATTCACCGCCAACCTACTTCTGCTCAAGATATCTCTCGTCGACCATGGGCCTGTGTCCGCGGCATTCCGTTACGGAATTTTGGTTCGACGAAAAAACGAAGGAGTCGGAAATGACCGTAAGATGCAAAGGAAAATGTTTCCATATATATTTATCGCCTGGCAACTTCCGTGACTCTCCAGCTATCCTAGAGGAGTACCTTCGATTCGCTGAAGCTATTGAGACAGACGGTGACCCTGATGGCCTACAAGACTGGGCGCTACAACCATTCCTTCCGTTATTCAGCGACACCGAGTCGGCGTTGGGGAAATCCCAGTTATTCACACTCCATGACTATCTTAATATGGAAGCCTTTCATTATTCGCTTCGGGCTGCCAATAACACCCTCACTCCTTTCCGGGACTTTCAAGTTACACCAACACCAAGATTAGATGGAGTCGATCTGGGCGACTATGAATTCCGCGTACGATTGCTCTCATTCCATCCATCGCAAGTACAGATTTGCGCTGCTTGCCCGGAAAATGCACTTCTCACACCCCCAGAGAAAGTACTTGTGGATGGAAACATGATCTGCTTCTTTAAGCCCTTGGGTGCAGGTGAGAAGCGAAGCGCTCTTCGCGAACTGGAGAGCTACAGACGCATAGAAGAGCTGCGAGTGGACCGGAGGCTGCAAGTTCCCCGTCTGTGGGGTCTAGTCCGGGACGACAAAAACTCTCGATGTTTAGGGCTCTTATTGTCTTGGGTCGAATGCCGACACATGACATTAGAATCCGCCTTGCGGTCCGACGACTCGTTTACTCTACGGCAGAAGTGGGCAGGTCAATTAACTGCCACGTTGAATCATTTACATCGGGGTGGGGTGATCTGGGGTGATGCGAAAGCTGCTAATGTTTTGATTGATGTAAATAATGATTTATGGGTTATTGACTTCGGAGGCGGATATAGTCAGGGCTGGGTTGAGAAAGAGAAAGCAGAGACAATTGACGGGGACAAGGAAGGTTTATTGAAGATTAGAAATTTTCTTTTCCAGCAGAGCTAGTCCAGCAGCAGGGATTTGACTGATTACAACTGTCATCAAGGGAGGGATTATTCGGCTCTTTAATTGAGTTGTTGCATTTAACCGTTGTATTCTGCCAGTAAGAAAAACCGAGAGCCGTCACGTGCTGGAGCCTCAAAGAAGCTCTATTAAGGCAAGACTTCAATTCCCTTGGTATATCTTAGCAAGCGTATTGTTACAATTCTTGGCACGGGACTATTCCCGATTTTACCATATTTTCAAAGGTTAGGACCTATGATGTCCATCGATGTAGCATTTGCCCCCGCTCAGATTTCTTCCAAGCAGCATGTGGAGAAGAGTTCAAGGTACGATGTCTGACGATTTTGGTGATTATAGATTATAACTAGTGTAGGAAGCTAAAAACCGAGAGATACACCTTAACGATGACCAAGTGAGTGTTCTGGGAAAGCTCCCTGATCCATGGTGGTCACAATGGGAGTCCAGAGCGGATTTTTTTAATGAGGATGCAACTATTGATATCACGACTGGTGCTCCTTTCCAAGATAGCCTGGAAGAACGGCACGATTGGTTCGTTAATGCGGCTCGGCGGCGATCAGATATGGAAGAGCAGGGGAGGATGAGAAGAAGGCTTTTCTGCATATGATTTGAATGATGCTTCAATATTTACCAAGCGACAGGGCTATCATTCGGGATGTTGTTGAGTCTGAGTGGATGCAAAAATGGGCGTTTCCTGCAAAGCAGGAAACTAAATTAAAAAAAATCAGAGATAACAATACTCAAATAACTATGAAAATGGTCTGCTCATCAGAGGGAACGATTCCCGTAAAGAACCTATTTAGAGGGCTATAGAGCTACGGACACTGTCAATGAGAAAGTCCCGAGCACTGATGAAGACTCTAATAACTCGACTTTACAATCTTGCGTCTACCGGCCCTGCGTGATCTCTGTCTCTGCTTGAAATGCCTATAGCCCGCCAGAGTTGTCAATGATGGCTGCTTGTTCTTCAATTCTGTGTGGAATTCTCTGATCAACTTCTTGCAACCTGGAATCAGATCACTTCATGATTGTCATGTAGACTCTCATGAGACATGATTCTTCAGAGATTTCTCATCCCCTCACACTCAAATCTGAGAATGCAGTATCTTTCTTACTGGTCACTCCTCTCTCATCCTGTTGCATACAGCCAGGATTGCAGGAAGCTCAATATGCCTGAAATGCAATTGGTGTACCTGTCTGGTCCGCCAGGTAGTCTTTCATGTGACAAGGTACTTCAGCATTGCCTCATCCCCCCGCCCACGGATCCGGGAGTCCAGTATCCTTCTTACCGGCCACTCCTCCTTGGTCGCGCGTTCAACCGGGATTGAAGGAGATTGACTCTGTGGATGTGGAGAGATGCGGGTGTGAGCATTGTGAGAAGAGGTTGACTCACTCATGGTAAGCAGGGGGGTTTCTGTCGTGGGTCAGTGGGAAACTGAGACTGTAATGAAATGAGCCTTACCTGAAACTTCTCACGGAGTCAATGCGGCACTACCATCCGTCATTGAATCCAGTTCGCCACCTTTCTCAGTGGATGCCTTGTTGGCGGATGGCAACGGCCGAGGCATCTGCGCATTCACAGACTCTTCTGTGAATCCATCATCATGATAAATCTCCATCGAGTCATCTGAAATAGCCAGTCAGCGGAGTCGGTAAGAAACGCCATGAGGGAGCCTCGAAACTGACCTCTACTTGCACCTGGCCAGTATGCATGAAGGCGGGCTTCAGGGACACTTTCTTCAGCCGCATCCACCTTGATAGTTATATCAAAGCAGTCATCAGAAGAATCGCTAAGATCTGACCTGGTGAGGAAGGTGGCAGCATGATTGTTGATGTTTCTCTGACTTCTGCTGAGAGGTTGACTGCTGTTATCTGATGAGATCTTCTTCAAAATCCTGTCAAAGTCATTTTCTGGAGTTTCAGATGGCTGGGACTGTTGACTTGCAGATGAAGAAGAAATGGGAGATGTAACCAAGAAGGATGAGTGAGAGGGCAATGAGTGTCTGAGCTGCTGTGAGGGACAGGATAGAGAAGAGGCTGTGTCAGTGGTGGAAATGAGTCTCTGTGCTGAGAGATTGAAGAGCTGTAACTGTGTGGAGATTGCAGGAGGTTTGAGGCTCTGTAGTAGTTTGAGAGAATTCATGAGATTTAGAGGTTGATAGAACCAGATCTTGTTCATTGTGACTGCAGTTGGGTTTTGCTCTGCATGAGTGTGTGTGCTTTTGAGATTGAGGTTCAGAGAAGCTGTGATTCTTGTTCTGCAAGCAGTGCTTTTAAGAAGGGAAAAAGCTGATGCTTTTATAGAGTGATAATCAGAAATGCTCCTTCTTTGACAGAGTGCTCAAAGTCTGTGAAAGGCTTTTCTGTGTGTTGTGAATAGATCCCAGCATTTTCAAAAAATGCTTTACTTCTTCCCCTTCAACCTGGGAAACTGCCTGTAAAACAGGGATGAATTGCAATGCAACACATAGAATGCAACATGTAGAGCCAGAGTTTCTCTGAACTGCATCTTTAACTGGTTCAGAGTCAAGAGTAGACTGACCGTGTGACCGTGTCTGAGACCAGGACCAGATTTTTTGATAGTCCCATTACCAATTCGACTGATCCCATTACACAGTTTTAACATTAGATAGTAGTCCCATACTGTCCCAGTGAGACTTACTGTCTACTCTTGTCACATTTTCCAAATGAGATCATGATTTTCACTTCTCAATTTAAATTATTTTTATTGCTTTAAATGACTTTAAATCTCATTTGAGCATTATCAAAAAGTGTTACTTTTTAAAAAATTAAAAATAGTCTAAAAAAAACCTTAAAATGTCTAAAAATAGTAACTTTATGCCAAGAATGGGACTAAATGAGATCAAATGGGACCACTTTCTCATTTTTTTCAAGTCATGGTTCCATTTTAAGATCTGATATATAGTCACTTTACATGTTTTTTTGATAGCCAGTCCCAGCGGGATTCACGCCAAGAAATGTATGAGATCAGACCAAATGGGACCAAATGTGAAATTCATGGTCCCGGCGGCCAGTCTAGTCAAGAGTCACCATCAATTCACCAGGAATCACAGTCATAGAACAAACTCAGCAAGCTCATGTTTCATTTCCTATACACTGTATGCATGAGGATGAGTGCAAATTGATTATGAGGTTGTAGAATTGATGACAAATGAACTGAGATAGAGCAGACACATCAGTGGCTTGGATGCCTTTGAATTGCATGAAGAACTCACTCTACCTTATCATCACACAATCACTGCACCTCTGACTCTCTCAGCTTCCTCAGCTGGAAGTGACTCAGTGTCAGATTCACCAACATTCCTCACCAATGAATCAAACCTTGAATACAAGGATATGCAGCCGACACTCCAGAACAGTCAATTCAATCATTGAAAGCAGTCAGAGGCTCAGTGAAGGCGGGCATTTTGCGTCCACACCCTCTCACATCACATTCTAGCGTCCAGCCGCACTTCTCGTAATCTCGCTATGCTGCAGGCGGGGGTGCTGGATCCACACAATCTCGGATCTCGCTGTCATGAGGGATTTTCACCATTGGTCAATAGCATAGCGCGGGCATGCACCGGCAATTATAGGCACCCCTCTCTCTCTCTCAATGTTACACCTCAGTGTCCAGTCGAATCTCACTGCGCTGCTGGCAGAATGTTGAATTCATGCAATCTCGGGTTCTGCTGACATGAGGGATTTTTGCCATTGATTAATGGCATGACGTGCATGCATTGAATTGTAGTTCCAGATGGAAAGAGAAGAAGAGAGGTGATGAAATTCTGAATATGTTGCAGAATTAACAGAGTAAGTCAGAGAAGATGTTCACAGGCAAGAGAGGCATGAGTGAGTGAAATATTCAGTGAGCAAAGCCTGTTGTTCTCAAGAAGAGAAGTGGGTAATTATGATCTCTCAATCTACATGGTCTTTCAAGAAGACTGAATAAAGGGGATGGGCTGGGATTGATGGGGGGAGGGCTGGAAGGGGATGAGAGGGAGGGAATGCAATGGCGAAACGGGTTCGGCAAGGGAGATCGGCAGATATCTTTTGTGTGGTGCGGCAGGCTAAGCCTGAGCAGGGGGGAAGAGGGAAAGGGGATAGCGGATGGGGCAAAGGGGAAGGGGAAGGGCAAGAGTGAGATGAGAAGGGAAATTGGGAAGAGGGAAGGTGCGTGGGTGAGAGGGAGGAGGAGTGATCTTATATAGATTTTCAGACCGCGTCAATGATGTAACTCCAAGCGGCGAGGTGGAGGCACACCAAACCCGAAGGGGCGACGGCACGACCGACGCGGCCAATGGACGGGGTCCGCGGGGCCAGGCCCAGCCCTGTTCGGGAAACGCGGGAGGGGGGAGGGCCAGGTGCGGCCGCGTACTCACCGTCCGATTGTTTACTAAATAAATATTTAACTAAGTAACTACCACAGTCTTGTTCACTTGATCCTTGATCCCGCTACACTCTACGCTCTCTTGCTCGCGGATATTGCTCTAAATAAGCAAGTGATAATAAAGACAAACCTTTCTTTACTCCCTGATGTGTATATAAAAATAATGACCTTGGTAGACACTTATATAGATAAATACCTAATCTTATGGCGCTTCGAGCATGTCTTATCTTCGACAGTTCTACAAATAGCTAGACACGGCTAACCCTCTTCTTTAGACTATCCAAGTCATATCAGAATACAAATACTTGTCCAAACGAACGCCGCCCGTGTCTAATTATTATAAGCCCACGGTGGGGTAGGCTACAGTTGTACAAGAGTTTTATCGTAGTATTACATACCACGGCGGCCAGGATTATCAATCAGCTAGGATTGAGTTTTGCGAAAAAGGTAAATGACAGTAGGAGAGACGGAGAATAGAACTTCACTGGTATACAAGACGTGTTGTTCAGTCATTCGTTTCCGAGATAAACACGGATTAAATGAACGGTTTGAGTGTGACTGTCTGCTCGCGCTGGTAGGATTGATCAATCATTGAGGTTGTCCGAGAATGAGAGGAGGGAGCGTTGTAGTCAAGGAAGGGTTGAGAGTTGAACCACCCTAATAAGTCAAAACAGTAGACATAATCAGTATCTAACATGCTCCGCGATAGACATCTCAAGGTGAAGGAAGATAATCACTTCAAGACTGATATTCGAACGTTGGATGTTGTTTTCTGTGTTGCGGATGTCATTTGTCAATATGGATGTCCCAAAACGGCTAGCGTTTTGCCTTGGCCCTAAGCGAAACGAAATCCCACAACCCGCTCGCTGGGCAACAAGTCTCCGCCCTCCAGACTCCGACAACCAGGACACCCAGCGACACCACCCCCAGTTCGACAGCCGGCCAATTCAGTCAAAATGGTAAGGAGTCCTGTTTCTCTTTGATTCTCTGCCTCATTGTCTGTCTTCTCTCCCGGATGAGATACGTGGGGTTATCGATGCGGGAAGGGGGGAAAAAGAACGCCGAGTGTGTGTGTGCGATGAGCTTTGGAGCCCACAGCGAACCGCGCGAGGGAAACGACAGCGGAATTGGAAAGATCTCATCGTTTTGGAGTTATCGACGGCGTTTTGTTCAGTAAAACGCCCGTTCGGGAAATTACGGTTTAGTTTGCGTCAAGCACATGCGGAGGATCTCGCGAAACGTATCCAGAAGCTATAATCACCACCATCATCGCACAAACTTTCTGGAGCGCCTTGAGAAACGAAACGAAATTACGTCTCCCATACTACACGAATTTGGCCGTTTCTATATATTTATATATATATATATATTATTCCAAGCGACTGAAAACTCATTCAACCGGACGATGCTATGATTTACTTGCGGGCGCATGATGGTGGCGGGATTATTTATATATCGGGAGAGAAAGAAGACCAAAAAAAAAACCATGGTGAAAGTGGTGCTGATGATATCTGGGCTCCGTCCCGAAACAGGTCAACATTCCCAAAACCCGCCGGACGTACTGCAAGTCCAAGGAATGCAGGAAGCACACCCAGCATAAGGTCACCCAGTACAAGGCTGGAAAGGTGAGAAAGCAAAATCTTTCCCCTCTCATTATGGAAAAGAAAGGATGGGAGGAAGAAAAAAAAAAAAGAATATGTGGTGGATGTGGTTGCTGATTGTTGTATTTTTGCTTTTTTGCTTCGGTTCTCGAAAAATATAGGCCTCGCTATTCGCACAGGGAAAGCGTCGTTACGACCGTAAGCAGAGCGGTTACGGTGGTCAAACGAAGCCTGTTTTCAGGAAGAAGGCAAAGACGACAAAGAAAGTTGTTCTGCGGTTGGAGTGCACAGTCTGTAAGACCAAGGCCCAGCTGGCTCTGAAACGATGCAAGCACTTCGAGTTGGGGTACGTTTAAACTCACACGCACACACAACCTTTCTCTAACGGGGGAAACATGGTTTGCTAACAATTCGTTTCTTTTCCTACAGTGGTGACAAGAAGACAAAGGGAGCGGCTCTTGTTTTCTAAGCTTTTTAATCCAAATCTTATCCGTTGTCCTGGGTTTCTATCCGCCTTTTTCCATTTCTCTTTCTCTTTTTTTTATATTTTTCTGTTCTCCTTTTAGCATTTGTGGGCACACACGCTCTGTAAATAGAGCGGATGGTTGAAATTCTAAAAAAAATGAAAATGAAAGTCATGAACAGTCCCTGATTTTTTATTTTATTTTACACGACACACCCTTTCATTTTTTCGCTGATCGTTGTTCGTTTTACCTTCTCCCGCTCATGACCAAAACCAGACGTAGACAGTCCGCAGGGTTGTCTAGATGCCGAACACGTCGATTGGTGAAGCACGTACCGTCTCTCGCGGCCTAGGGGGGCCTATTTCCTGATAACATATGGGATACGCCGACATCGACTTGGTGGCTTTATCCAAATCCATATCTCCGTCTGTCCCCAGAAATATATATATCCGACAGCTTATTCCTACACCCAAAATTGTTCTTAGCTTCGCTCTCCGTCATCGCTGCGCCGTCTTCGCTCTCAGCTCTTAGCCCATTTTGATCAAGCTGGCGCCGGAAATTCTTCCTAGGACAGAAGGAGCGATGAACGGTACCTTCCCACTTCGTATATGAGGGTTTTGAAGGTCAGAAGTCGCGACTCAAAAAGCGATATATACATTCAGAGCCGCACTTTCCTTCAAAACTTTTGACCAAAAGAAAATCTCGGAAGAGGAAAAAATAAATTACCCTGCATTCCCTATACATTTTAGGGGACATGCGTGCATGATGACGGGGATAGGGACGTGGGGGGAGGCGGAGACTCTCGGACAGGGACATCATCAGTAGTACTGACTTGAGTGAAATGACAGGTCCATAATATTATCTGACATCCAGAGGGGATTATGGCTTTGAGGGGGTTATGTTTTGTAGAAGAGTTTCTGCCGTATATATGCCATGCCAGCAGAAGCAGAGCAGAGCAGCTCGAATAGTTTTATGACTTCAACAATTTTCAAATCTCAGTGGACACTTTATTAGGTACCTAGCGCATCTGTTTGTCTATCAATAGGCAGATGGAGAATGCGTACATGAGAGAAATTATTAAACTCCCGTAGTGGTTTGGAATGAGAAATGCACAACGATCCCTTTTGCATACTCATTCGTGCTCATAGGAAAACCTCTCAATAAAATAGCTTTGTGAAAGAGTATCTCTCTTCTCTCTGCGGATTACACGTTCATATTACGTATGCCCCCTCTTCTCTCATCTCGAATTATACTATGTAACATCTTGTTTATAGATATCTCCCTCTTATCTCACATCTCACATCTAATCATTCATTATATATAGATAGATATATACCTATTAAACCAAAAGAGGGGGAAGAGAAAGATAGTTACAAGGTCTGATTTTATTTGAACAAGGAGAAAGAAAATATACATCGAAATCGATGAAAAGGATTGTGTGTTGGACCTTGCCGTGTGTGGGGGTTGTTGGAGGTATAAAGGGAAAAAAAAAAGAAAAAAAATCACCAGGGAAATCTACCCGGTTTTCCGTTCTATATAATGGTTAGGTTTGGTTAAACAGCCCGAGTAGTTGTGTCATTGACTGAGTCGAAAATGCAAGAATAGGAAAATGAAATACAATAAACATAAAAAAAAGAAAGAAGCCCATATAAATAACACCATCCCTGCGTACTTTTTGCCGTTTTGTCATTCGTTTGACGCGTGATCTTTTTGCAATTTGTCGATACCCTTATTTATTATACCCATGATTGCCGAATAGTCGCTAAAGAAACATGTGTTCAAGAGAAAGCAAGAAGGAAGGTTAAGGAAATTGTGTGAAGGAAGGAAGCATGAGAGACATGAGAAAAGATGAAGAACAAAAAAAGCCTTCTATGCAACGCGATGTGTGGGTATACAAAAGATTAAATTAAGTAGGGGGAAAAAAGAGTAAAAAGAGCCTGTGAGAAATTCGACGCTAAACTAGACAAATGGCGATTCGGAGAAAAAGGTCGTTACATGAACTTTTCTCGGCCCAATAGCATAACATAACATGGTGGGTTGTGTAAGAGATGGCAACACAACAAATCAGGGCCGACTTGGGTCGGTGACCGGGTCGGTACTATTGTGGCCCGGTGTCATTGGGGGGTGTTTACTATGTCCACCCTTGTTGTCGTCATCGTGGTCGTTGCCGTTACCATCATTACCACTGTTGTCTCCTTTGCCGCTGTCATCGTTAGGAACTACAGTTATCTTTGAGTTGATCGAGGCAGACCTCATGCGTGACGTCAACGGTAATTGGTATTTGACAACACCGCGCACGATCAGCTCAAAGGGATGCTGCAAGACCCGTTCCCAACGAGCAGTCCCGCCTTCTTCGGTTTTGTTTCCTGGCTTTGCAAGCCTTACTTCACCAATTGATACGGATGGCTCGTACTTCCAAGGTGAAGAGTCGAAGGTGAGAGGAGAGTCGAAATGGAAAATGCGGCCGAGGAGCATAGTCTGTGAATCGCCAACAGGGTCTTCAGGCGGGTCCTCAAAGATAGGATCCGTACCTTTGTCAACGCCACCAGTAGTGTGTGTGCCATCGCTTGTGGATACGGTATTCCGTTTCACCGCGCTAGCTAAGCGGGCCCGCGCTCTGCTATCTTTCATCCGGGGTGCTATTATATACGGGTGAGAAGCAGACCCATGCCGGAGCCACTCAGCACCAACGTATCTACTCTTTGCAAATATATTGACATCCATATCGTTGACTGTCAGGGTCACGAGATTGGGGTTGATTGCTAGAACCTCGAGGCCAAACATAATCTCCTGTTCTGAGGCCAAGACGTTCTGGATCTTCTTGACGTGCACGTCCGCAAGCGGCTTCATCAGCCCAACCACAGCCGTAGTCGCGCCTCCAATGAGTAAAAATAGGAAAATCAGGAGTAGAACACAGAAACCGTATCGTGAAAACCACCTTCTTTGTCGTTGCTCCATATACTCCAGCTGACGAAGGCTTGCACTGTTAGGACGACGACCGTGACGGCTGCGAGTTGCACGAACAGACCCGACAAGCGGCGTTCGCTCATCATCGGCGCCCTCACCGTCGAAATCGTAACCATATGTATCGCCATTCTTTTTAGGGCTGCCCATACGATGGTTATGAGACCCACGGTATGCTTGTTTACCCCCGTTACTAAAGTTATGTCTCGATGACTTTGGACTCTGGGAAACAAGAAATGGTGACTGGTCGAGCACCGATGGGTGACTACTTCTCCCGTGCCGACCAATGTGGGAATGTCTTGTCGTATGTATATGCCCGTTGGTTCTTCCACTTCCCCTTCCACTAGATTGGTCTCCGTCTGCATCCAAGGTACCATAGCCGGCATTGGTAAACTTCATACTTCTTTTCCCAGTAATGGTGTGGTCCCTTAGGCCTAATCGTGATCGACCTCCATACTGATCGGCTTGGCTGGCCATCGACGTATTGCTGGGAGTCCTCGAATGATATCGAAGTTGGCGAGCAGGATGGGAGTCTGGAGGGTTTGAGTCGTAAACAAATGTTTCTGCAGAATCAGAAGAGTCTGCCTCATCGACTGCGCTAGCAACTTTAGCCTCAAATATATCTGCTTTGGATGAAACTATTGGCGAAGTTACAGTTAGTTTAAATGAAGAGTACTTGATACCAGACCGAGCAAGGGTTATCACAAACCTGTACCGACCGGGAGTGCTGTTGGCTTCCGAACTGGTTTCTTTTTTTCCTTTTTTGGTCGAATAGTTTCATCGCTTGCTTTCAGCCTGACGCTACCTCCAATATCCGTTCTAGCAGAGACGCGTTCGCCTGTACCACCACCAAGAGATACTTGGGGTATAGAGCTAACCGTTTCTGCCTCGATAATCATATTCCTCGCAGGGGCATCGCCAACCTTCCCTCGAGTTGTACTCAGCGAGGTAAATGAGCGCTTCGCAAGAATATCGCCCGGCCTTGCGTTGGCAGATGATATCCTTGGTTTGCTCTTATTCCCGCCGCTATCACTTCCACTTTCCACGCCAGTTTTGGCAACAAATGGCGCAGATTCATCCGCATTTTCTTCCCGTGGTAGAATTTCTGGAGACTCTGCCAGAGCACCACCTTCCTCTACCTGTTTCCAAAATCGATCCCGTCCCGCTACCACCTCTGTTCAAAGCCACCCTTGCCGTTTTGGCGATTATATTTATCATCAGTTTCCTCCTCTGGCGCATTCGCATGTTGGGCGATATCGACTGTGGGTGCGGGGTTTCTCTTGCTAGAGATGTTTGCTAAGGTAGTGTCATGGTCCGATCGCTTTGGCGCGTGAGGGAGATTGTTACGCGACGATAGAACCGGCGGAGGTGGTGATTTGAGTCTAGGAGATATAGGCCATTGCTGTGATGAGTCGCCATGCTTCGAAGGCATATTATTGGACTTGCTGGGACGAGGCAAGTCTGCGGACTGTTCAGTCGAAGGTGGTGGGAAATGCGGTTTGTTCACATTGGAGAGATTCCGTCGGAGTGCGGCGGCAGAGGGGGTAGGGATGCGATTCGGACTCAGCTCCTGGCTATTTTTGCGTGATCGAGAGACTGCTCTCGACGCGGTTGCGGAGTTTATCGATCGAAGGGGACGGATGGGAGAGGTCTCGCGTGAGGAAGTCACCGAGTTCGTTGAAGACACTGGGGCTGATCGTCCGGGGGAATGTCTGTGATGATAAGACATACCCACGAACGAAGTCTGAAGCCCAGATGGTGAGACGAGAGCGCCAGGTCGAGAAGAACCCTGCGCACCGGGTCCAGAACTTGTTTGTGCAGCCAATGAACCCCCACTGTGAGTTAGTGTAGACTTGTCATCGGCAGGTAGATTATTGGAAAAAGATGGATTATTTGGTGAAGCCATGACCGGAGTGACAAAGAGCCAGGAAGCAGGTTTTCGGCGGGTTCCAAGCAACTGATAGGGGCGACGTATGTTGGGGCCAGCCCGCAGATTTGGTCAGAATTCTCCCAGTAAGACGTTACACAGCTCATAAAAACCGAGTTAACAGATGTAAGGTGGCTTCATGCTTTGTTAGTAAATAAGTGTCGTATTGGAGGTACATGTACAGTTGAGTGGTGGGATGGAATTGTCGGATGTTCGTTGTCAGTTGTCAGTTGTTGCTGTTATTGCTGTAATGCTGCTGCACAACACAAGATCATGATTGAGAAGATATTCCAGCGAGTGTTGGACCAAAGAATAAGAGACCCAAGCAGGCTGTAAGGGAGTATCGGTTGACAATTAATTTGAAGGCCGACGATGATTATTTCGTAATTATTTCCCAAACGCTATTCCAGAAAGTTCAAAAAAAATAAAATAAATAAATAAATAAAGTAAAGAAATAAAAGGCGAAGGCGAAATGCAAAAAGAGTTCAATTGTTGATCAACCAGTTGTCAAAAATTTATCTCTCTGGACTTTTTTCCTGTTGGCGTGCGCCGGACGCACCACGTTCCTGGCGTTACGGGGCACTTTAGTCAACTTTCGCTGGCGATTATTTGTTATTTGCCTGGTTTTCTTTTTTCCGTTTCGACTCCTTCTCGGCAATCCTGTTCTGTCACTTTTTTCCGAGCATCGTGGCCAATTTTGAGCCCTATGGAATTAAAAGTCACAGGCGAGACCAACTAGCCTGGCACGCCGTCGCACAGGTCGCACAGGGGAAGCGATTTAGTGGGTCAAGACCAATCGGCGCGGCCCACGTCGAAAAACCCCAGCGCAGCCCAACGTACAGCGAATACCTAGACCTCACTCAAGAGCATTGAAAAACCACGCCGGGTTAAATTCTACAGGGCGACAGCCAGTGGTCGGCTGCCAGCGACAGCAACCCCCAGTTCCCCCAAGAGCCGAAATACCGCAGGTAGGCGAAAAGAGGATATTGAGAACAAGGGGTAGAATCAAAGGATAGAATCAAGGGCGGAGTACGGAATACACTAGGTAGGTCTGGAGAACTTGGCTGAAGGACTGGACCGTTGAAGGCCTGCCGGGGTGAAAATATCAACGTAAACGAGCCAGGATTGGATTGGAGCGTGGGGAAGCAGGTGAGTGAGCGGGGATAGAGGAAGATCCGGGCGATGACGGCGGACAGGGAATAGAGAGGGAGGGAGATTCAACAGGATACGATACGTGGAGAAGAAGAAGAAGAAGCAGCGCAGGGGGTTGGTTCTGTTACTGTGCGGGATGTGAGAGTTTTCAAGATGAGAATGACGATGAGGATGAGGATGAGTATGACAATGGGACGATGACCATGACGATTATGGTGATTGATGATGGTGATGATGATGATGATGATGATGGTTGGTGGTGGTGGTGGCAGCGGGTGGAAGAAGTAGAAGTTGGCAGTTGGCAGTTGGCAAGGCGGCGGAGGTTGAAAGATACCGCATTGGGCAATAGGGAAGGCTGCTGCGGTAATTTATGTCGGCGAGGTGACAATACGTGACGCGCGGTCAACCGCCGGTCCAGACCACTCTCCCCAGGGCCGATCTAAAGACCCGTCGTCCCACCCAAATCCCGCGCCACTGAGAGGTACCTATCCCCCCCCCCAAATTACTGTCCTGTCCTTGAGTCCTTGTCCTGACCGCCTCGCAGCCTTGCCACCTTGCTGACACCGTACCAGCTACCGTCTCTTTGCGTGATACAGCTTGCTTTGATCCTATATTGGTTCCAGCCGGCGGTTGAAGGGAATCACACGCCACAGAATAATGGAATGGAATGATATCCATTCTACACACTGGAAACCCTCGTTTCTACTGGGTTATGGATGAGCTACAAAGTTTGATGCTTTGGGCATTAGACGGGTTTTGCAAGGCTCGGCGCACGAGAAATTCCCTATCTTGGTTAGCAAGTGGCACGAAGCCTGCTTTTAATATGTGTATTGAGCCGTGTATAATATAATCTGGTGCAAGACTAGACAGCGCAGGTAAAGTCCAAATCAGGTTAGTGGCATCTCATTGTGACTCTCATAGGCCAACAAGCTATAATGATATCCAATGAATATTAACTTAACTGTCACGAATATCTAGTGGGTGGATTAAAGTACCCCATTCTAGCTGGTTTATCAGGATAGTGCAATTTAATAATTACATGGTGGATATTTAAAGCCCACCTTGTACTTGGCAACTAAGCAGTTATGTATGCGCTAGTTCTCTCCACTAATTGCTTGAACTTGAAGCCCAGAACCCATCCTGTTTTACCAAAGATAACTAACTGATTTTTGTATTTTTGTATTTTCACATCGACAGCTTTGCTCTTTGCTTTCCAGCATCTAAACAGCTGAGCCTAGGATGCTGTCAACTTTTCCAGCTCGTGCTATTGATAACCAAGCCAGTTCCGTCGCATTAATCAGGCCCAACCACAAGGAAAATGGCGATACTCGTTAAATAATGCGGGGGAATGGACAAGGGAAATCGCTCTCGACCGTTGTTCCCAGCTGGCTTCGATGGCAGTGGCTCTTTTGTTCTGGACTCATCGTAGCCTGAGGGTTCTGAACCAGAAAATGCTTGATCTGTTCAAAATTGACATTTGAATTCATAGCCATACAAGTGATATATAACTAACCCAGGTGCCATTTCTGAAAAATATCATTAACTCCCGTCGTCTAGTTGCAGTTGCCATAATCCTCGGTTCAATTCAGACGCAGGACACCTCCCCGCCCCCATATATGATCTTCGTTTCTCATTATTTACTTCCAAAGATCTATTCCCAAAATTGACTCCAAGCGCGGCGTAACACATGTGATGAGAGATGAGAATGATAATCAGAGCCATTGACCCCCGCAAACGGGCCATGTATGATTCTGAATCAGACGAGTTCAACAAATAATAACAACCCTGGACGTCAGTCTGTTGTTCTCTCTCTCCAAATCTCCAGCTCGCTCACATTTCTCTATTTTATTTTTTAAGACGGGAGGCCCGGCGGCGAACGAGAAGCAACCATGGTCATGTTTCCACTTTTATTTCAATTGTGGGAATGGAGTTAACATGTCATGTACATGTACATGTACAGTACATACATGCACATTCTTTTGACAGCCCAGCCACGGGATTCGCACAGCGATGAATATATCATCTCCCTCCCTAGATATTTTTGAAAACGGGGAAGAGAATAGTCAAGGCTCCCTCTCGAATGGACATCGAACTGCCTTCCTAGACTGAATTCTCGATAGGTCGTAGAGCTTTTCTGGATTCTTCCCTACTCCATGTGCTTTATCCATGACGGGCGGAAAGAAGCATATTTCGCTTATAATATATAGCCTTCTGCCTTGTCTTAAGGCTTAACCTATACCCACATCTGCGCAACCAAGGGGCTACGGTGCGCCTAACCCAGGCTGCATGGAGGTTCTTGCTAAGAACTCGGCGTTGAAGAGAGAAGTAAATATCTTCCTATGACGCGATTGATGGAGGGTTATGGGGAATGTAGTGGGGCAGGGTAGAGCTGGTTCTCTTCCGCTTTGCATATATCTTTACGTCTCCTACCTATGTCGATGTTAGTCCCTTCCCAGGGAGAAGGACGCCTATAAATGTGCCGGACGTATTTGCTTAGGGTGAGCCAGTGGCGGATGAGGAACTCTCACGGATGCAGCATCATCAGTCATCCTTTATTGAAGTCGTTCCGGTGCTCATATCCGCACTTTTCGCTGCTGCTAATTCTGGCTGTTTTTGTTTTCTTGCCCTGGTTGGCGGTTTGAAATTGTCCCCTCTCCCCGGGGGAAATGATGAAGATATACTAATTGGGAAATTGTAAGAGTGGAATGTGTGGTATTAATCTTTCATGTGTTAATTGGTTGCGTTGCGAACCCACCTATGCTTTATATATACCATCCTTGTGCTACTTGTAAAAAAATAAAAATAAAAAAAAATAAAAAAAAAATCCAGCCAGCTACTATTAGATGAATGACTATTCCCGCCAAATAAACAAATAAATAATTGACAATGGGGCTGCACCGCTCTCCTGTTGTATAGTGTATAGAATACACTTTGAGAGCATCCATTCTCGCCTCAACCTTCCAACAAACAACCAAGACCAAGCTAAGCTATTTATCCAGGAGACGCAAACGGCAGCCTTGCTCAGTAAACCTGCCTCTCCATCTCCTACACAAACATGGGTGGGACGGAAAGCCATAAACCGAGCGCTGCAGTCAGTGTGTTTCATGCACTCCATGTTTGCGTGCAAGCCTAGATTGTATGGGGGAAGGGCAGATTTTCGACTTCGATCGTAAAAAAAAGGCGTAAATGTATTTTACCACAGATGTAGATGGATGACCTACCTATCTTACAACTTGAATCCAGCACGCGGCAGAGAGAAATGGTGGGCGCAGTCAAAACACGCAATGGCAGATTTGTGAATATTGGGAGCTGTACAGCGTAGTTAATAAATAGTTAAGGGAAGGGAGGTCAGAGCGAAGCAAATATAAACGTGATCGCAGTGGTATATTCGCCAGATAAATAAAACACGGCGCAAAGCCAACACTGAGGCTGTACGGGCTCGTAAATCTCATAAACAGATCTGAGGTAACTATTTATTATTTACTTTATGACTCGGAAGCGAAGGTTTGTTTCTGAGAAACGTGGTCCGGCAATTAAATAACCGGCTCTGGAACCTGGAGTTCTTCATTCTGGACACAGACAATTCCCAGGTGACTTCATAGAAAGAGAAGGATAAAAGGATAAAAAAGATAATAAATACGACAACACCTGCGTATCCGCGGGTCCGTCCAGGTTCCCCGAGCGATCCGGGACGCCATCTCCTTCGACAGCCTCTTCGTTTGTGAAAAAGAGGAGACAAATTGAGTGGAATGGAGGGTTCTCTCTTCTCTCCAGAGAGGAAACACTGGCAGTTGGTCAAGAATGAGAGCGCCAGGGCTGTGTCGGGCGCAAGGCTGAACAAAGCACGACTCCTTTCAGGTTCTGACTGGCTCGCTGTGAGTCTGGTGAGTCTAGCTTTGAGTCTGGCTTTGAGTCCGGGGCAAGTTGTTCGCCTGTTAGCAATGCTCTAGCGGGATTCTGGAAGATGCCCCGCCGCTGCTGGTGTGCTTCGAGAATATCGCCCTGGTTCTTCTGATTGGTGTGAGGCGGCTTCGATGGCCGGCTTGGTTTTGGGGAAATAGTAATAATGTTGATGATCATGATGTTGATGTGTTACGATTCCCGGTACTTGGAAGAGGCTCAAATGAGGCTCAGTTCACCGGGCCACGACAAACGGTCTGATGCGACTGTTCAGATGAAAGAAGCATACTATCTATCTATCGATATGTTGAAACCTGGGAGCGGTACGGTACATCGCCTCGCTGGGTAGCTCCAGCAAACCGTTTTTGCGCAATTCGACGGCTGAACGTCGCAAGCCTGTCTCCATGACTCCAACGGTTTTCACCGGGTGGCAATGTCCTCATGCGTTCTCTTTGATATATCGAAGTCTGGGCGTCGTACCTATGTACCCTCGATTACAGTTGATGAACCCCCCCAGGACGCCCCCCCGAATCTTCCCCAAAGGGGCCTCAGATTTCAATCATTTATTTTCTTTCTCTCCATCTCTCTGTATCCCCTTTCTCTCCCTTACTACCCTTCCTAATCTTTTCTTTTTTTTTTTTTTTTTTT